AAAATTCACTGCTCTTACGCACATCGATAATATAATTCTCAAGTTGATTATCAAGCACCACAATATCATAAGCAGAAAAATCCTTAGGGTATAGCCGAGCAAACCTTATCAAGCTTTCCTTATTGAACGCATGGAAAGAATCCCTAGGATTAAGACATCCCACACAAAGAAGTAACTCGGTATTCGACTCAGAAAAACAATTATTAAGCTCCACGAGTTGTTTATCTAGAACAACATAAAATAACTCACAACGAAAATGAACCAAGTTTGTCTTTTCTTGAGTTCTTCGTCTAGGGCGGCCAGGAGCTGTGAATGTTTCATCCATATTTAGTACTGTGACTTCATGCATAGAACAAAATGAAGAAACTTCATTCAAAAGACTATCCCATCCATCGTCTCTCATTGACTGCAATCTTTCTTTTGATATAGAAACCAATCTCATAGAATTCTCAATATCCTGGTCTTTCCGTTGCAAAGCCAATGATAAGTCTTGAGTAATTCCCAATACATTTTTCATCATATGCATAGTGAATATAAACTCAAATGATTGTAGTGCATCTAACAACATTCGTGCTTCAACTTTTTGATCAGTGCTTACTCCATCCTCCATAATAAGTTCAAGTACTTCAATTACGGATTCAAACATGGTAGTAAGCTTAACAAGAGTACTGTAAAGTGAACCGCAACAGGTATCACCAGCCCATTGCAAATTAGTTTCTTGATTCAATCCACGTCCACTAAGAATTTCTCCTTTTCTTAGAGCTTCTACAACTTTTTCATGTTGTTTGGATTTAAGAATATCCTGCCTCTTACAAGATGCTCCAACAACATTCATAACTTTAGACGTGATCTCAAAAAGATATTGAACTTGAAAATGGTATTTTGCAACAGCTACTAATCTCAGTTGAAGTTGATGAGCAAAACAATGGACATAAAATGCACATGGATTTTCTTGAAAATAAGGGTTTTCAAGCCTTTAAGCTCACCTTGCATGTTGCTTGCCCCATCGTAGCCTTGACCACGCAATGTTGATATACTTAAACCATGAAGAGAGAACAGACGATCAATGACACCCTTAAGTGAAGCTGCAGTCGTACTCGAAACATGTTCAATACCGAGGAAACACTCTAGTATCATCCCCTCTTTGTTAACGTATCTTTAAACAACTGTCGTCTCTTCTTTCACCGACACATCAACAGACATATCAACCAATATTGTAAAACACGCCTTACCAATATCCTTATCAACTGCACAAGTAACTTCATTAGCAATAGCAACACAAATATCTTTTTTGATAAGGGATGTTGTCAACTGATAATTTTGAGGAGCATTCTGAATGTAACTTTTTCAACAAGTTCACTATGTTCAGCAAGCCAATGAAAAAGTTCCAAATAATTGCCTCTATTAGTCGATGTGTTAGATTCATCATGACCTCGAAATGCTAAACCCTGCCTTAACAAGAAACGAACACAATCAATAGCTACATTCAACCGAGTTCGATATTCAACCTTATCATTTTTTTGCTTTCCGATATATAAGTAGAAACACTTCCCGTAAGATTTTGATTTGTTAGATCTTTGCATTTCAATTTGGCTATGTTATGAAAATTGTTATGCTTGCCAATATGTTGATCAAATTTCTCATTTTTTCTCCAATTTTTTAAAACCTTCACCAACAAATGCATCCCCCCACTTTGATTACTCGGCGATCTAAAAAGATAACAATACAAGCAATATGCACTATCTTTGGATATGCTATACTCTAGCCAGTCAAGATACTTTTGAAACCAATTTGCGACAAACCTTTTTTTCACATTTTCCATTTCAGGTTGGGGAAATTCATGAAGAATAGGCTGACAAGGACCCTTTAATAAATATGCCCGATGCACTCTGTCCCTGTCATTAGCATCATAACTCCATATTGGTTGTCGTAGCCCCGTATCAGCCGAGAGATTTTCGACATCAATTACCTTTTTTTGACTTGGGGGACTTGAAAATTCTGCCATTATAGACTTCCTCTTTAGGAATTTCTCCATGACTAGTCACCTTAATCAAAAGAAAATTAAAATTAATATATAGGCAGACAAAACAATTTAAACACGCACAAAATTATGAGATTTTAGAAAATACAAATTGGTTGGGAATCAGACTACAAAATTATGCAACAAATTTGATTTAAAGAATACAAATAGAAAATTATATGTATCTTAATTTGAATTAAACAAGCCCAAATTCGACTTTCACTTGAATTTCCATATAGAAAACAAATAAAAATTAGAATTGAAACCAACAGACAATATGGATTAGTTTCATGAGCAACATCAAACAACAAAAACACATACAAAACACATAATTTTCGGAGCCCTAAAATAGCCCTCACAAAAAAATGAGAAAATAGAAATATATTAAAATTTATTTACCTAATAAAGAGAGTGAAAGAGACAAAGAGGTGTTTGTGGGCTGTGATTGTTCCTTTGATTGTGTGTGGTGGAATAGAAGAGAAAAAGTCGTGGTCCGTTCTCTGTTGTCCCGTGATGAAAGATTCACAACAGAGAAAATTTTTTTTTTTGTTTGATAAAGTGGGATTATGGTTTACAGCCTGGGAATTGGGATGTGATAAGTCTCCCAATTATGTTTATTTTTTATTTTATTTTATTAACTTTCTAATTCACTTTAAAGAATGAAGATTGCATATTGGGTGGGTTAAGCCCAACTTCCCAGCTTTTATTGGTTGACTTTGTTTGGAGCAAAATTATTTATTTATTTAAAGGGGGCAATATAAAATTTTTTGGGGGGGAAATAAAAAATATATATATTACTAGTAAAAAAATTAAAAAAATTGAGGGGGGGCAACTGCCCCCCAATCCTAAGCTTAAAATCGCCCCTGATTATAGCTGACTTACGTTCCTTAGAGAAAGAAAGAGACATGCAGACAAGATGACTTGTCATGCAAGGCTGAAAGTGAGGCACACACGCAGATTGACAAAACTTGCTATATATGGGGGAGCGAGACACGCAAGGTGATATAAAGAATGACTAATTATGGAAAGCAACTGGAGAACCTACTTACCATATGGAATGATGTTTTAGAGTGTTGCACACACTAAGTAAAGATAGGTAGAATGTCATATTTCTAAGAAGAGCGTGCGAATGTGAAGAACAAAGTGTACTCTTTCATTGTTTTGTTTTTATTTTGTGTGATAGCAAGTCTAGAAATTAGAGTATTAATCTCTGATTAAAGACATTCACATATTGATCTATCTTCTGAGGTGCTTGGGACGAGCATTATCCGATAGCACAGAGAGATTTATGTTGAAGTCAAGTTCACGATAAGTGACTGGAAATGTAGTTAGATAAGTGTACACGACGTAGGTTATGAAGAGAACGTCTTTGTTGTAAATCTTAGTTGTATTGCTCAAACACTTATTTGAATGAAAAGTTCCGACGAAGAGTGGGATGCTCCTCTGAAGATTCATGTTTTGTATGAACTGCTTCTGCAACTGAGAGAACGTTCATTGTTTACAGTTTAAGTGCAATTCTCTATCTCCCCAAAATTTCACAATTCATTAGCCAAAATAAACTAATTCAAAATTATACTGCAACCTTCCACGATAGTTTTTTCAATTGATCTATCTAAGTTGTGAACCATACTTTATATTTTACAAGGAACTGACAATTTGATCTCCTGTTCCACATATCGAATCATATTATCAGCAATATGAAATAATAGAACGAACACTTTTGACTAAACATGATTATTCATTCAAAAACAATGAATATATGTTTGTAAATAAAATCGAGCTTTTAGTATACAAATCAACAAAAACTTTTTAGGTATCATGGTAGCATCTTTATTGGTAAAATTATGATGCCTACGAAGGCAATCTCTAGTAAATTCACCTAGAATTGAATCCGTTAATGTTCTGTTTCATTTTCTTTCGGTCCATTTGTATCAAAAGATTCAGTTGTGGGCAAAAACATTATCAACACACATTTTACCAACAAACGAACATGTAATTAGACATGGCCAAATGGAAGGCCGGGCCCTGGCTATTGGGTTATCATGATCCTAAACCGACACGGACCTAGACCGTGCCGGATCCATGACCCGGCCAGACCTATATAAAAAAAAGAAAAATTCAAAAATAACCTGTTTTTCCGTGCCCGACACGACCCGGTCCGGCCTGGCGGGCAAGTTTTGACGAAAAGAAGACCCTGAATCGGCCCGGTTGAAATCCGAGCCGGGCCCGAACCCGTGGTCAATGGGTTTGACCGGGCTGGGACCGTGCCGGGCCGGTTGACCTGTGGCCATGTCTACATGTAGTTATTCTCTAGGTTTTCTGTAGGTAAAAGGATATACCTATAAATATTTCTATACAAAAAAAATAAAAAAAATATGTTTCTTGCAGAGCTACTACTAAACGGTGCAGGTCCAAGTAGAAGACACTGACAGCGCACCCCATGTTTATAGCAAATTATTTAAAATATTATATACAAATTTTATATATTTTAATTAATATATATTTATACCTTTTATAAATATAACTATAATATTTTATAAAAAATAATATTATACTGAATGAATTTGTTTTAGAAAAAAAATAGTCCGGACAAGTTAACCAATGGATCAGGGGTCAAAACTACTATCCTAGTCCATTTGTCATCCTTAATATGATTGTCTAAACTTTATTACTGAAAACATCTCATATGAATTGCAAACTGGCATGCCATTTAAAGCAATATTGATAGTGTAGTATTGATATACTATTGGATAATATAAATATAATCGGTGGGCATTGGAAGCATCACCGGTTTTGGACGTGGACAGACCGCAGACGAAAGCTATTGAGAAAGGCAGAGCTCATTAATGACTCCGAAGCATACAAAATTAGTGCTGCCTGCGTTCACACACTCAATCGCCCTCCCAACTACCACATTTTCCGCCATTAATGCTGTTCCAACTCCCTCCCCACCCATTAATTAATTAACTCAATTACTCCAACACACACACACACACACACTAAAATTGCAATTGACCAACACAATTTTCCAATTAAGAAAAAGAAAATGGAGAAGACAGCATTTATCCGGTTTTCGGTTGCGTTCCTCTGCGTAGCGGTTTTGGTGGGCGGGCAGGACGAGTCGTCGCTGGCGGGCAAGTGCTCTGCCCAGTTCCAGAAGGTGACGCAGTGCCTGCCGTTCGCGACGGCCAAGGCGGCGGCGCCGAGCAGGGACTGCTGCGACTCGGTGGGGAGTCTCAAGGAGAGCGACCCGGCCTGCCTCTGCTTCATAATACAGCAGATCCATAACGGCACTAACGCTGCCGTCAAGAGCATGGGCGTGCAGGAGACGCGCCTCCTCCAGCTGCCCTCCGCTTGTAGGCTGGCTAACGCCAGCGTTGCCGAGTGCCCCAGTAAATTTCTCCCTTTCAATATATATCTATTATTTACTACTTAAATTACTACTGCCTGCTTTAGCTGCTCTCCTAAAACTATAATTGATTACTTGAATATTTATTGATTAAGAAAATATCTAAGTGAATAATATTTATTTTTAGAAATAATTAATAGTAATTGTTTTTTTCCTTCCTGACTGGTACAGATATTATTAATGACACGAAAAGAATAGTTATTCAATCAATAAAGATATATATTCTTAATTTTTTGGGGAAAAGGCATTAAATATTTTATTTGTGGGAGACAACAAGAACTGTTTTGTTTTGTTTCACGTCCTAATTGCTATTGCCAATTAATTGGGAGAGAGTAATTATAGATGATGTCAACGTTAATTATCCGGCTCTCGCTGGCTATGTTATGATGTTGAAGTATATCTGCCAACTCCATCCTTTGTCCTATGTTATGATGTTGAAGTATATCTGCCAACTCCATCTTTTTTTGTTCTTAAAAGAGGGAAAAAGTGTTCTCATTAGAATCTCACATCATCAACAAGAAAATATACCTTTATGTCATGCTTCTATATAACATAAACAAGAAACTGAAGATCATGAGATTAATATAGATATATTGAGAATTCTACATTCTATTTTCACATTCTTAAATCAGGTGTTTATTTATTTATTTATTTCTTTTTGGTAGGGCTACTCCACTTGCCTCCCAACTCGTCGGATGCTGCTATCTTCACAAATGCATCGACAAGCACTCCCATCTCGACCCCAGCTGCGCCCGCATCCACCACAGCTAGTAACGGGTTTATGCTAAAGCCTCAACTTGAAAAATACATTGCCACAGTACTTGTCCCAGCCATAGCCATCTTCTTGTTATTCCACGCATCCATGTTATGCTCGTAAGTGGCGGATATAAACCGGTCGGTCTAGGAATCAAATTAAGATTTTCCCTTGGCTTCATTTTCATGTATCGATTCGGTTGTTAGTGGTTGTATGGCTTTAAAAGGTGTTCCCTTGGCTTCATTTTCGTGCATCGGTTGTTACTGGTTTGATGGCTTAAAACTATATTCGATTTGCGGTACGTTTATGTTGTCGTTCAAATATTTAAGCTCCGAATTTTGCCAAATAGGTACCAAAGTTGTTGAATTTCATTTTGTTTCCTCTAGCTAGAAAATTGTTTTGTAGATGTGTAACAATGAATTTTATGAAAAATATAAAACTTCGGTACAATAACTTGATTTTATTTCAATCAAACATTATTGTGGATTCAATCTCTATATTTCCCCTCTGATTCTTCACTTTTTGTATTCGGAATAAAATCTTTGAATATGGATATGGACTTGCATAATGTTGAGTCGAAGGCTTCATGGTATTTTCCCAAATCAAATGACATATAGTTTGTTTCAACGAACGCGGTTTGAATGTAACTTGAATACATTTGATGTTCTTGAATTGATTTGAGATGAGTGGATGTCGTCTCTTTACTTCTTGGAGAAGAGTTGCTGCCTCTTTTTCTACTTCTTGGCCTTCTCCTTCATTGAACGTACTTCAGGGGTCAAATGCTTGGCTGCGGGTTGAATGCTGTTCAATTTGAATGTCCTTGGATCTTCAAATACGCCTTCAAATCTTCAAAAGAGTTATTGACAGCTCTTGAACTTGAGACTTTGATTTATGAGGTGTGTTGTTTGGACTTGGGAGAATCCCTAGGTGTAGGAGAGAGTGTCTTGGAGAAGAAGAAATCAATTTGATTAGTCTATCATGATTTGATATAATCTCTTTCTTTATCCTAAGATTTTTTGTTTCGTAATATTTAACTTGGTGGCAAAAAAAATTACTTTATTAATTAAATATCTTATTTATCTTAGATTTATATCCAAAAATAAATAAAAATTAATAAAATATTAAAATTTCGATGTCTACAAATGCTCCCTTGAGACTTTGTCCACGGATAAAATGTCTTAATAATGAATGAGTTCCTAAATTTTGGATGTAGTTGATACATGCAGATAGTTTATATTCATGTCCAGGAGGTCTTCAATTTGAGTTTGTATATAATTTAATCTTGTATCAGAGAGTGTTGATTATTTTGTCGATATTTTATACTCATATCATAGAGTTCTTCATTTAACTTGATTTGGAGATAGTTTATACTTGTATCAGGGAGTACTTCATTTGACATGATTTGTAGATAGTTTATACTCGTATCAAGGTGTTCTTCATTTGACATGATTTGTAGATAGTTTATACTCGTATCAAGGAGTTCTTCATATTTAACTTCTAGACATTTTATTCTCGTGTCAAGGAGATCTTGATATGTAGATCTATTATTCCCGGGTCAAGAAGTCTGTATTTTGTAGACATTTATTCTCATGTCAAAGAGCTTTCAAATTTGTAAATATTTTTATGCTCCTGTCAAGGAGCCTTATAGATAGTTTAGGATCATATCAAAAAGCATTTGAATTTATATATATTTTAACCTCATATCAAAGAGATTTTGAATTTGTAGATATAAAAATGCTCGTATCAAGGAACTTATGATTTATTGACATTTTATTCTCCTGTCAAGGAGATCTTAATTTTGCTGATATTCTATGCTCGTGTCCTCCCTTCAAATATGTAGACATTTTTATGCTCTTGCCATGGAGCTTTCATTTATACATTTTATGCTTGTGTCTGGGAACGTTGTAGATAGTTTAGATCCGTATCAAAGAGCATTTGAATTTGATTTGATGAAACTCTTCATGTAAATTTCCCACATAGAATTTGCATTAAGAGAGACTGTAGAGCATCTTTTGTTTGCCTCCATTGTATGAATTTGATGAAGTTAACGATTTTCGGCGACTTCATGATCATCCTTAGTTGCCTTCTTGTACATCATCTTCAAAGAGGTCTTCATGCATCTTCAAAGATTTTTTAACTTTATTTGAAGAGAAGAGATGATAGGTAGAGATGGTCTCACTAAGCGTGTCAAATTTGTAACAATGAATTTTATAAAAATAAAAAATCTTTTGTACAACTTGATTTTATTTCGATCAAACAACATTGCGGGTACAATCACTATATTTCTCATCTGATTCTTCTCTTCTTGAATTTGTAATTGGATCTTCAAATATAGATTTGGACTTTCAAAACGTTGAGTCGAGGGCTCGATAACTTTTTCCTGGATCAAACGTCATATTGCTCAACGAACGCCACTTAAATGTTGCTTGAACGCCATTGATGTTCTTGAATTGAGTTGAGACGAGTGGATGTCGACTCTTTACCTCTTGGAGAACAGTTTCCGCCTCTTTTTCTTCTTTTTGTCCTTCTTCTTCATTCAACGTATATCGGCAGTTCGAATGCTTGGTTACGGGTTGAATGTCGATCTTCAACTTGAATGTCATTGGATCTTCACGAACGTCTTTTCAATCTTCAAGAGAGTTTTTGGTAGCTCTTGAACTTGAGACTATGATTTATGGTGTGTGCGTTTTGGCTTTGAGTAGTGCCCTATTTATTGGTGTAGGAGAGAGTGTCTTGCGGAAGAAGACATCAATTTTATTGGTCCTTCATGATTTGATATAATATCTTTCTTTATCCTAAGATATGACTTGGTGGGCAAGAAATATATACTTTATTAATTAAATAGTTTATTTATCTTGTCCGTGGTGAATGTGATCGAGATCAAGCTCGAGATATTGTCCTGTGGCAGCCGGTTCACGGCTCATGCAGTCACAACCCTAATTGTTCTGGTGACCTCTACTCTCTTGGTTTATATTTTGACTGTTGTCTATGCTTTTTTGCATTGAGTTGATGAACTGAAGATGGTAATTGGTGCACTCTTTGTGTTTGATGAAATGCTGGATTTATTACTTGTATACTTGGAACCAATCAATCTCTTTTTATATGATTAGAGAAAGTTTCGCTAAAGATGTGATCTCGTAGAAGTAAAGTCGTTTTCTAGTTAAAATTGATGAGCTGATAAATTTATGGATATCTAACTTCAGTTGTTCTGTTTTTTTTTAATGATATTGACATTGTCTTGAGACTTTAGTGGATTTGGAGTTCATGTAACTTCTCGTGGTTAATTTAAAAAAAAAAAAAATGGCTCATTATGTAATCTTTTTCACTATTGTTAAATACATATTTTAGAATAAATATTTTGCTTTTCTGATTTATTTGTGCATATTTTTGTATTTATTTTATATTTAGTATAATATTGTTTTTATTTGGTTTCCTTTTATTATTTGGTTTCCTTGTGTTATTAGGTGTCTTGCTAGGAAAGAAAAAGATAAGAAGGAAAAGAGATTTTGAGGGAGAAGCCATGTGGGTGAGTTATCAAGAAGAGCAGCGTACGTTTTTGGAAAAAAGGAGGAGCAACAGCGTGGAATTCTTTGGTTCTAAGGAGCAACAACTTGAGTGTTGGAGCACATATTTTTCTTAGTGCTGCAAGGGTTTTAATTGAAAAATTAAGAGCAGCACAACTGGGATTCAACAAGCAAATAATAGCATCACAAATTGTGATTTTTGGAACAAAGGGCTGCGTGGTTTGATTGGAGATTTCAATGAGCAGCTTGTTTTTTACTACTTTTCTTTTGGCATGATTCATTTGATTATCTGAAGTGATATAGTGCATATTAGTGTCGAACTCGCGTTTTGTGTTTTTTATAGTTCACTAGATATTTTTGGATTGGATGAAAAATTTTGTGAATAATTTGTTCTAGTGGAATTTCGGCATGTGGCCTTAGTCTACAAGTGTATATTCACTTGTAGGCTAAATTTTGAATCTTTCGTATTACTTATTTCCGCTGCGTATTTTATTTTTGATCTTTGTGTGAAAATCTGGAGTTTTCGGTACCTAAAATTCTTACAAGTGGCATCAGAGAAGGTCGCTTAATTTAATAAGTGTGATTCTGTCTTGATAGGTACACATGGAGTTCAACGGAACTTCGCTTTTTCGGCCTCCGATTCTCGATGGCTCAAATTACACCATTTGGAAGATGCGTATGACGTCCTACATGAAATCCATTGATGGACGGGCTTGGTTATCTGTACTTTCCGGATGGGAGCCTCCTACTATAGAAATTGAAGGGGAGAAACACGAGAAAAATGAAGACGAGTACAGTACGGGTGAGAGCACGTTGGCCAACTTCAATTCAAAAGCACTCAATGCAATTTTTGGCACGGTCGATGAGAACATGTTTCGCTTAATTAGCACGTTGCACTACTGCCAAAGATGCATGGGACACCTTGCAACGTCATTGTGAGGGTTCGAGGAGTGTTTGTCAAACGAGGCTGCGTCTTCTTGCGGCAAAATTTGAGACAATCCGAATGCTCGAAAATGAGAATATCTCTTCATATACGGCCAAGTTGATGAGTATTGTCAATGAATGTCACTCCCTTGGGGACCCGATCACAAATGAAAGGCTCGTGGCAAAAGTAATGAGATCTCTTCCAAAGCGTTTCAACATGATGATCACTGCGCTTGATGTTTCGAAGGATGTGACGACCATTAAATTTGATGATCTTGTTGGCTCTCTGAAGACGTTCAAGATGAATCTTGAGGTGCAAGATCTCGAAGAAAAGAGTGCACCTTTCGGAAAGGGGAAGGGAATCGCTCTTAAGTCTGTCTCCGAGAATGATGATAATCTGGAGAATCTAGTTCGTGATATGAAGGAGAATGAGTTTGATGAAGAAGGAGTTGCACACATGACGAGACGCTTCACATCATTGCTAAAGAGAAGAAATTCTCAAACCAACTCCCAGGCCTCGAGGTCCCGAGGGCCAAGGTCATTCACTCCACCTCATTCGAACCGATCGAATCCAACCGGTGAAAAGGCCAAACTCAATGATAGGAAAAAGTTCACCCCGAAGTCACTTGAGACCGTCCAATGCAATGCTTGCAAAGGGTATGGGCACTATGCAAATGAGTGTGCTAATACCTTGCGCAAAAGGGGCTTGAACTTCAACGCCACTTTGAGCGATGATGATGAATTTGATGACGGTTCCGCTGAAAGTGAAGCTGAAAATGATGGGGATGCTGCCTTTGTGACCAGTGTGAGCGAATTCAGGCCAAAACAAATTGATCCAGCAGGTGTCGGCCGAGGTGTCGCCCGAAGTGTCATGACACCCGGCAGGTATGAAAATAAAAATTCTGAATTTTTTTGTCTTAACACCTTGTTTTGTGACGCTAAAGGCAGGGATATAGGTCCTCCGAGCAGTCTTCAATTTGTTAACTTTGATGATCATGAAAAGGTGTACGTGGAACTTCATAAACGTT